ACCCCGGGAACCCCCAGCATGCTGGCGGCCAGCCGCACACTCCACCGGGGGGCCGAGCAGCAGCGGTCCCCCCAGATAAACCAGCAGTAGGGGCAGCCCAGACCGCAGCCTGACAAATACCCAAACATACACAATCGCTTCATCCTCACCCCCACTCAGTCAAAGACATACAAGGACGCCACATTCCACTCATACCCCCGATACACACTCTATACCCCCAGGTCCAGGACATGTACCCACCCCCTAATGGAGGCAGCACACACCCGATCCCAGGAGGTAGACCCAATCATTCTGAGGTGGAAAGGAGCAGATAGCCAAGGCCCGGCCCAGGCCGCAAGAGGACGCCCGGCCAGCCCCCCGCCGCTGAGAAGCCACACCCATGACCACACCACCACACCCCCAACGGCCAAGCGCACCCCCCCCCAGCCAACCACCCACTGGAACCCAGCAGCCACCCCGGCCAGCGGGCCACCCATTGGAACCAGGAGCCACACCTCAGGTGACCAAGCAGCACCAGGGAGGATGGAGACCAGCCCCGCCCCCGGCAACCGTCCAAGCCCCGAGTCCAGCCCAGGACCGCACCCGGCGGCCCGCTCTTCTTCAGGACCCCCTCCCCAAATGGCAGTCGTGAAGAAAAATCACTGACGATGAAGAAATTAAGAAACTAATATTAAGTTCTTTTTTCTACTGAAGTGATAAAAAAGTGGTTTTTTATTGTTGGAAGAGTAGAAGGTATTGTGTAGTCTTGAGGTTTTGCACATCTCACCTCTAAATTTCCTGGTTTTAATGCCTGGCTGAGCAGGAAATTAATGCTGTTACAGATTATACAGCTAGCTCGGTCACATATTTAACTTGAGAAGGATGTTCTGCAGTGGTTGAAGTTGTTCCACAGTTGTCAGAAGCAGATTAGAATATTTTGGCCATACTTTTTCATTTACTCTACAGACCTTTAGCACTACAGTAAATAAAGCAGAGATGGAGTCACTGCTTGACTCTGTGTTAAGCCTCTAATCCCTGAAGAAATGTCCACTATGTTAGACATGCAGTTTGTAACCAACAAGTGACACACAAACACCCACCCAGGAGAGTTGCAGCCATGTACAGCCAAAACTGGGCCATTTTATTGTCCAAGACCACCAAGAAAGTTAACGCTTTGTCACACAAAATTATGTAAGAACAAAAATAACTGAAGAGTGTTTGTGCACACACAGTGTTTTATTGTTTTTTTTGTTTCCATTTTTCAAAAATGGCGTCAGTTAACTTTTAAGATTATCTGTGTTAGTAATGCAGGAAAAATCTGGCTCAGCTTGATGATTCAGTGCATTTCTTACTGTAATTGCTGATTCGGTGATTGACTGTTTTACAGCCTTCACCGTTTCCTACACTCACACAGGAATGCACCTCATTTTTACACATACGAAATATATCTGTGGTCAACCTAATGCAATGTTTTCCCCTCACAGTTCCCTGGCATGCTTTGCAGTCGAGCATAAATGTATTGTAGCTCATCTAAAGGATAAATCAAGGACTTGAATATCCAGATGCAATTTCCACAATCTTTCCTGAGCTGCAATCACCACATGTGAATACTTCTTTCTAACCATGTGCCAAGTGTAAAATACTTTGAAACGCTTGAGGGAAAACTGTTGGCATGCTACTTGGGTTCTTTTTGACTTCTGTTTAGTTCAATATATTTATTTAGCACCTGTTTACAACACAAGTCATGTAAGGAAACTAGAGAAAATGTAAGAAGGACCAACTGAAATTCAGTTTAGTTCATCAAAAATGAATAGTATTTATTATTCTAGTACCGTAATTGTGTTTTTATAAGTTTGTAGAGGAACTTTTCTTGCAAAGAAGCCTAGTGGACTCCATCGAAACCTTTGGGTTGTCTCTCAAGTCTGACTGGTTTCTGTTTCATGTTGCCATGGTACTATAAATAGCCCTCTGAAATTTTTGGTCGGCTTCACTTGGCTCATCCACTCAGTATAAACAGCTGCTTGGTTTGTTGATGTACTGTAATTACCAGGAACTGCTCTAAAGCACTTATTATGAAACATGCTTTTTTTTTCCAAATAATAAACTTTATTACTTAAAATCGTTGTACTGGTTGGGATGGGGATAGCTGTGTTAAACTTATAACAAGTCAACTGTTTTATATTGAAAAATGCAATGTGGAAATATTATTTTTGAAACTGTGGTGTACCGCAACAACTGTAACATAGCAGATTCTTTGTTAGTAATTTATTATTTTTGGCTGTCCTCCTCCCACACAGCAGTTTCGCAGAAATGGAAATCATGCGGCAGTGCTCCGCTTTCTTTTTTTTATTTTATAAATTTAGAAATAAGTGGCTTTTTATATTTCTTTAAAACTATTCTCTCAGCTCTGCCTTTAGTTCCAACAAATACTTTGCTCATTATTTAGCAGCAACACATGTAATGAGACAATTCAGGAGCAATATTTCCAAGTTTACACTTTTTGATTTTTATTTGTCTCCCCCAGCAATTAGCCCTGCATCATGGCGGGAGGGTCAAAAGCTAGTAAAGATGGTCCTGGGTCCAGGTCCTGGGCTTCCCAGGGAGGAGCACAGTTCTCATCCAGCTGGGAGACAGACACGAGCAGGTGAGGCTCGGCATGAACTTTTACCCCCTGTGTACATACCAGGACTTGATGTTCTGTCAGGAGGAACTCTGAGAAGTTGTAAAAATATGTTGCAGACAATACAAGTTTAGAGAGAATTAGAGTAGGTGTTTTTTTATTTATTTATTTTTTCCAGCTTAAATTTACAATATGGCATGTTAAAAAAGTTTTGTTGATTTTTACATCTTTGTTCTTATATATAATTTTTCATGCTGCTGTCAACTGCACAAGGCACATATTGTGAAATGTGTTTTGATACTATGAACTCTAAGAAGTAAAATGCAAACAATTTTTTTCTTGATTACATGTTGATCAAATATTGTATGAGTCTTGCATTGAATTAAAATACTGTATCACAAATGCATACTTTAGGTCACGTGTCAAACACAGGGTGGGTGACTCCCGTGTGGCCCGCTGGGGGGGACCACCCCCCACACAC